GCTAAATCCATAATATAAATCGGTGATTCTTTTTCTGAAATAGGAATTTTCGGTCTAAGATCTCCACCAGCTGCTAATTCAAGAATAAGATGATAATGTGAATCTGTACGATAGTGTTCATAAAATCTAATGATTGAAGGATGTTGAAGATCTTGAAGTAAATTAATCTCATTCATAATCATTTCATCTTGAAGACCATATGTTTTGTGAACGCGTAACATGACTTTGATAGCATAAAGATCTTGATCTTGCTTTGATTCAGCCTTGTAAACCGAAGCAAACCCCCCAGAACCAAGTAAATGTAAAATGACATAGTTTTCAGTGACTAGAGTTCCAGCGTTTGAAGACGTGTCTTGAAGATCTTGATAAGCGGTATATGATACTGATGGAGGGGTATTATAGACGCCGAAACTAACACAAGAATCGATACTCATGATGTATGGAGATGGTGTTGAGTAGATAAGAGTATGTGATAGAGAGAAAGGGTGATAGGTTTAGAAAAGTGGGAGTAAAGATGTTGTAGAGGGATATGGGGAACGCAAACGGTGACTGGACAATGTTTAGAAATCCTGGTCACGGGAATTGCTGATCCTTCAGGCTGATCAGCTTGAAAATACAGTCAGAAATGCGAAGTACACATTTGCTAAATGTACAAAATGTACATGCATTATTGATCATAGGCGTGTTTGTATTTTACTCAGTCAAGGTTGAAAGGGACTCAGAAGGTATTACCGTCAGTTCTTTGTCAGTTCACATTCCCTAGCAATGCTAATAGATATATGACCCTATGGTTTTGGCATTGTGTTTTCTTTCTCAACACGCATCAAAGACGTGTCCATTTTGATGCCCTAGCACTACAATAGATATAATGCTGATTGGTACCTTCAACCTTGTCACATGGACACCTACACGAGTTAGCATGTTTATGGTCCCGTTTGGGATCACCGAAGCCTCTTGGCGCATCATATCCATACTGGACGAAAACCATGCATTCGGATCTGCGTTCAAAGCCCTTCTTCATTTCTATAAACCCTCCTCACAATGATTGTGACGTCTTTTCTGAGGGTGTATCAAATGCTTACGTATTTTCAATCAAAAACCCAATCATCAGCCTTTGTGTGGCTTATAGAGAACTCATACCCAAGCAAGAGTGATTTTTTGAGGGGGTAGCAAAGTGTATTCTAACGTG